CTTGTGTGGTATAAAAGAGTTAAGTCTTTTGATACCAGCTGTGGCAGGAGCACCAAAATCCTGGATGTCACTCCTGTGGATTTTGCTATTTGTCTCAATGAAGCAAATCCAATTGAAAATAATATCTTCGGAGGAAGGAGGATCAGTGAGTTCAAACAGAAGAATATTTGCTGACTGGCTTAGGGAAACCCCCTTTGTGCTAAAATGTTCTAAGCAAATCCTCTTAGTACAATTTTGCAGGAGCCAAATGTAGGGGAGGATCCCTTCCTTGATGCCTTCCTCTGGAGCAGGGCTGTGGCTGGGATGACACAAGAGAGGGAGCTTATCGGCCACCTGCTTGCTTAGAGTCCATACTGATGAGTCTGGCTTCCCAGGATGATGAGAGATTTCTGGAAAATGTGGGAAAGAGCCCGGGTGAGAGAGGTCAGCCACTGCTCAAACGGAACCATCATCCTCAGCAGACAAATGGCTCCAGGAACCCTCCCTGTGAAGACAGGAGAGACACGGGCTATAGCAACCTGGCTGCCTGGCGTTACTTTGCACGCATAGCGTTTTATTGATAGAAAACTCTTGTTTCCAAAAATGATGAGAAACATAGTTTTTTGTGTGTAACAGAGGGAAAAGCCCTAGAGTTCTGAAGAATCTGCCCTTTCACACGTGAAGCTCTGTGCCTCTGAGCCTTTGCACACGCTGTTCCTTCTGTTAGGCGTGCCCTCCACCTGGAATGCTGGTGGATTCCATGCACCCTCCAGCTCGGTGTCCTCTCTTCTGTGTGGCCCTTCCCCAAGCTGCCTGCTCAAACGGCCAGACCATCCCCGTGTTCTCAGCCACCACCAAGCCGTGTTTGTTCCTTGCGCTTGGCTGGGCTGTTCCAGTTGCAGGTGACAAGGGAAGTTCAACTCAGGGAAGCGTTCACCAAAGGGTGAGTTACTGGCTTTTGAAACTGCAAAGACTAGGGTACTAATGGATCTAGAGGCTTCTACTCTTCCTCATTCCTTTTCTTCCTCCACCACCTCCTCCTTCCTCCTCCACCTTTCTTTCCCCTCCTTCCCCCTCCCTCCTCCTCCAGTGTCATAACTGGTGCCTTATAAGCTGACCCAGGAGTCTGCTGGAGCAGGACCTGCTCAGTCCAGAAGGTCTAGGCCTCTGTGACCCGGGCTATGACTCTCCGCATACTAGGCCTCAGCAAAGCCCTGCTGAATGAATGAATGAATGAATGAATGAATAATAGATGAAATTCAGGGAGTCAGAACTGCCTGAAAACAAATGCAATCATGTGTGGTGAGCGTGTGTCCCTTACTGTCACAGTGTTGGGCCTGGAGCCCTCTTTTTCCACTCTTCCATCAGTAAAGATTTGCCGAGCACCCACTCTTTGTGTTGGCCTGGGGAATTCAGACATGGATAAGACATGGTTCCTTGGTTTCAGAAGTTCAGAGTCTAGAGGAGCCGGCAGCTGCGTCCATGGCTGGTAACAATACAGCATCATCCTGCTGCATTGCGAGGTATCACAGGGTCCTCTGGAGCTTGCGGGGGTGGGGGGGGCCTCAGCCCAGAAGCCAGCTAGACTTCCTGGAGAGCAGCTTCTTAGGTGAGCTGTCAGAGGAGGGAGAGGCCCCGGTGTAGTCCAGCATTCCAGGCAACTTGTAAATCCATGATCCATGTGGCCCAGGCTCTCAGCTGTGCTGTGTTCAAGAGAGAATCCCCAAATTCAAATAGTTTTTTTAAGTTCTGTGAAGGCAACAGGCGATCCTCTAAAATTCCCTTCGCCTTTCCTGTGCTCTCTTTCATGCCTCAGCTCTTCCACAAAGGTTCTTGCAAAGCCTCCCCCGCCCCCCATCCTCCACCCCTGCCACCCGTGGGCTCATTGTTTTGAAGACAAACACAGTGTTTTCCTTCTGGGACCAGTCCCTCCTCCTCTAGCCTCTCAGGTCCAATAGTGTATCCACTTTCTGGCTCCATTACAGAAACCCTTGCAGGTGCCCAGGGCACAGCCAGAGGGTAAAGGAAGGGTCTTGCACACCATACGTGTTGGCCTCATCTCCCTTGCCTTCTAACCTACTATTCTTAACCTGTGTCGGAGAGGAGGAAACCGACACACAGAGAGATAAAAAAAACTTGCCCAAGCTCCCACAGCTAGCAAGTGCCTGCTCTTCCTGCCTGTTCTTTCCTTCTGTCTCCCCCTCGGTCCACGCAACTGTGGTTTCAGCCCAAAAGGGACTTCCCTAAATATCTTGTCTAGGTCACCCCTCATGATTACACTTTTTCCTTCACAGCACCCGTCACCATTGCAATTGTACATTTATTTGGATAATTCTTTTTTTTAATTATTTATTTATTCATGAGAGACAGAGAGAGAGAGAGAGAGAGAGAGAGAGAGAGAGAGAGGCAGAGACACAGGCAGAGGGAGAAGCAGGCTCCATGCAGGAGCCCGACATGGGACTTGATCCTAGGTCTCCAGGATCAGGCCCTGGACTGAAGGCGATGCTAAACTGCTGAGCCACCCGGGCTGCCCTATTTGGATAATTCTTGTATTAAAGTCCATCTCCAATAGTAGACTATAACCTTGTAGAGGGAAGGAACATTATATTTTTTATCCTCCCTTGTATTCTCAGTGAATAAAACAGCATCTGAGATATAACAGGTGCTCAATAAGCATTTGCCAAATAAAAATATGAGGAATTGAAATTCAAACCTATTTCCAAAACCCAAGTCCTCTTCTGACATCCTAAGTTGGTGTTCTCCAGGAAGACTAGGATGGGATGGAGGTCACTCCAGGGGGAGGGGTTGCTGTAAGACCCACCAGGGAAATGACAATTAGCATTTTTTCGTTTGCTTGCTTGCTTGTGTTTTGTGGTGGTGGTGGCTTGAGTCCAGACTGTATGTGGAGGAGGAGGGGCGGGAGAAGATGTGGAACAAGGGGAAGATGGTTAAAGACTTCAAAGCGCTTACCTGACAGTGTAAGGATCAGGGATGGCAGGGAGATACCGGGGGTTTTCCATCTGGGGAATGACATGATCACAATTACATCTGAGAAGGATCGCTCTGCCTGCCACAGAGGATTGGGACAGAAGCTGGAAGCTAGTATAGTGCCACCATAAAACAGGTTAGAGGAGACACAGTCCTGGATGGGACATCTGGAGAGGAGTGGACCTGCCCCTAGGAGATGGGGAGAGAGAGGAGGTAAGTATGACTCTCCAGCTTTAGGTGCAGGACCCTGGACAGATGGTCTTGTTGCCTACAGCAGCAGAAAGTGCTGAAGGGAGAGAAGATTGGAGGGAGAAGAGGCTGTAGAAGGCCAAGGAGGCTGAGTCTTCGAAGCTGGGACATTGCAGGTGCAGATGGGGGCTGAGGTGAATGGGGCCTGTGGGTCTGAGCGGGGAGAGAGATTACGGAGGGGATGTGAGAGTCCAGTCCAGTATCTGGACCTCAGGGCAGGGTGGCTGGATGCCCCAGCCTGTTCTCTCCCCGGCTATCTTCAGCTGAGCTTAACCCCGGCAGAAACTTGGCCCTTCAGAAGCAGAACTTGTTTGCTGGAGGGAGGAAGCATGTTAAGAGCCCGGAACACTGCTCTCCTCTCCAGGGCTTCCTGCCATTCTTTTCCAAACTTTGGGCCACTGGTTCAAGCCTCAATTTTCATTTCTGTCAAGCACTGAGATGTTAATCCATCTTTCTCAAGGTTATAAAAGAGAAAGACTGAGGATGTCCAGCAGGGAGGAGGCTTCCAGCTAGCTGGAGCCTCCTTTCCTCTTCCTTGTCTTCTGGGTTCATCCAAAATTATCCCCAAAGGGAAGAAGATTGGGGGTGACGGTGGGCATAAAGACTCTCCCAAGAGGTCAGGTTGAGCCTGAATTTTTATTTTAATTTTTAATTTTTTATTTTTTTAAGATTTATTTATTTATTTATGATAGACATGAGAGAGAGAGAGAGAGACCAGAGACACAGGAGGAGGGAGAAGCAGGCTCCATGCCGGGAGCCCCACGTGGGACCCGATCCTGGGACTCCAGGATCGCGCCCTGGGCCACAGGCAGGCGCTAAACCACTGAGCCACCCAGGGATCCCCGAGCCTGAATTTTTAGAATGGATGAGTGGGGTGGGGATAGTTTAAGGGAAGTGGTTCCTAAAAGACAGGCCTCCTGGACGCTTTTTCCCTAGATGACTGATTTCACTGAACCGGAGAGGAGGAGGAATCATTAGCCCATTCTGTGGGTGAGAAAACCAAGACCCAGGGAAGTTTAGGGCGCTCAAGGTCACACAAGCCAGGAATGAAGTCTCGGTTGGGGGCTTGGGTCTGGGAGAAAGCCAAGGCTGCCCTCTGCCTCACAAACACGCTTTCCCAATCCAGAGGCCAGGGATTTCCTCCATCCCTAGCCCACCTCCCCATTCCCCAAATGTGTTTGGGGCTAGGGCACCAGGGCTGGGTGGGGACCTCTTGGTCGCCCCAGGGCGTGTTCTCCCTGGCGCGGGGCGAGGGTCTGGCCCGAAGGTGGCCTCCCACCTTCGGAGTCGCCCCCAGACTGTGGCGGCGGGCGGAGCGCGGAGAGTGTGCGCCCCGGCACAGGTGGGGCGGCTGCGCGGGGGCGCGGGGGCGCGGGGGCGCGGGGCGCACACCGGGATGCAGGCAGCGCCGCCGCGCTCGCCCGCCGCGGGTCGCTCCCGGCCCCCACCCCCTCGGTGCCGGCTGGCTCTCCGCTGCTCCGGCTGCGAACCAGACACAGCCGCAGCCACCGCCGCCCGGCGCGCCCCGGCCGGCCTCCCGCCCCCAGCGCCCGCGCCGGAGGGGCGCAACGCAGCCACCCACCCGGAGGCACCGGAGGCGGCGAGAGGGGACCCCGCGCACTCGGGGCCCCGGCGCGGCGCACGGTGAGCGGCCCCCCCGGGGCTCGGGCATCCCTCAGCCGCGGGTCCCGGTGCGCCAGCCCCGGGTGCCCGATGGGGTCACCCGGGGGGCGCAAGGCCGAAGCTGGGACCGCGCGCAGCCCGCCCCTGACGCCGAGCCCGACATGCTGCCGCCGGGGCGCAACGGCTCCGCGTACCGGGCGCGGTTCGGGCAGCAGCAGCGGGCGCCGCGGGGCGCCGCGGGGGGCGCGGAGGGGGCGGCGGCGCTGGGGCCCGCGCAGGTGGTCACCGCCGGCCTCCTGACCCTGCTCATCGTCTGGACCCTGCTGGGCAACGTGCTGGTGTGCGCGGCCATCGTGCGCAGCCGCCACCTGCGCGCCAAGATGACCAACGTCTTCATCGTGTCTCTGGCCGTGTCCGACCTCTTCGTGGCGCTGCTGGTCATGCCCTGGAAGGCGGTGGCCGAGGTGGCCGGATACTGGCCCTTTGGGGCCTTCTGCGACATCTGGGTGGCCTTCGACATCATGTGCTCCACCGCCTCCATCCTGAACCTGTGCGTCATCAGCGTGGACCGCTACTGGGCCATCTCCAGGCCCTTCCGCTATGAGCGCAAGATGACCCAGCGTGTGGCGTTGGTCATGGTCGGCCTGGCCTGGACCTTGTCCATTCTCATCTCCTTCATCCCGGTTCAACTGCATTGGCACAGGGACAAGGCGGACCCCTGGGGCGGAGTGGAGCCGCCCTCGGTCCTGGCCAACGGGACGCCCTGGGAGGACGCCGGGGAGCCAGAGGCGAGGGCGGAAAACTGTGACTCCAGCCTGAACCGCACATACGCGATCTCCTCGTCGCTCATCAGCTTCTACATCCCCGTGGCCATCATGATCGTGACCTACACGCGCATCTACCGCATCGCCCAGGTGCAGATCCGCAGGATTTCCTCCCTGGAGCGCGCCGCGGAGCACGCGCAGAGCTGCCGCAGCCGCGCAGCCTGTGCCCCTGACACCAGCCTGCGGGCATCCATCAAGAAGGAGACCAAAGTCCTCAAGACCCTGTCGGTGATCATGGGGGTCTTCGTGTGCTGCTGGCTGCCCTTCTTCATCCTTAACTGCATGGTCCCCTTCTGCAGCGGACGCCCCGAGGGTCCTCGGGCGGGCTTCCCCTGCGTCAGCGAGACCACCTTCGACGTCTTCGTCTGGTTCGGCTGGGCCAACTCCTCGCTCAACCCGGTCATCTACGCCTTCAACGCTGACTTCCGGAAGGTGTTTGCGCAGCTGCTGGGGTGCAGCCACCTGTGCGCCCGCACCCCCGTGGAGACAGTGAACATCAGCAACGAGCTCATCTCCTACAACCAGGACACCGTCCTCCACAAGGAGATCGCAGCTGCCTACATCCATATGATCCCCAATGCCGTGACCCCGGGGGACGGCGAGGTGGACAAGGAGGAGGAGAGCCCTTTCGACCGCATGTCCCGGATCTCTCAGGCGTCCCCCGATGGTGACCCTGCTGCCGAGTCCCTCTGGGAGCTGGACTGCGAGGGGGAGATTTCGTTGGGCAAAATAACACCTTTCACCCCAAACGGAATCCATTAAACTGCATACGAAGCTCCCCTCCTGGATCTACATAACTGCACAGACACTAACCAGCATGCGGAATACACACTCACAGATACATCTCCAGTGCTGCTCAGTTGATCACATTTTCTGTGTCTGTGTCTGTAGTCGCCCGTGTGCTGAGAAGCCTCACCAGACTGATTTGCTGTTTGAAGAATTGGCAGAAGTGTTTGACATAAACTCGGTCAAATATATCCCAGTCCAGCAGAAATGGACCAATGGTTCGGTTAGAAAAGAGAAGGTGGTGTTTGATTAAAAAAAAAAAATAGCAGCTGGTCTTTAAAAAATATGCCCTCCCCCCCTTTTAAACAAATGGATTGATCAGTGACTTATTTTTGTTCAGTTGATTTTTAGACAACAGGTTCTTTGTGTGTGTTGCGCTGATGGGGTGTGTGTGTGTGGCTTTCCTGTATCCAGCTTCCTGTGGCCCTTTGTTTATGCAATTTCTGCTCTCTCTGTGTGTCTTTACAACAGCTGAGCAACTCTTTCTGATTTGTTCTGGTGTCTGATAAACACAAATTATGTGGATTATGGGGTGATTATCTTTGCTTTGCCAGATTGGTTTTCAGGATAGTTCCTGGAAAAACCATGAGAGCATCCTTAATATCAGGGTAGATGTTGGCTTGGTCTGGAAGCACATCTTTATTTTCTTTGCATACAGGTTGTCCTTACAGGTACACACAGGAGCAAGGACCATGAAGAGCTTCCAGTTCCTCAGGTTTTGTTGTGTGTGTGTATGTGTGTGTGTAGTTTTTTTTTTTTTTTTTTAGATACACACATCTCAAGTCTGTGCTGAGAGCTGGCTTCAGTGCCACAAAGTATCAAATAGGGACTTCTCCGGTCTGAAATTCTAATATATTTTTTCTCATTTGGAATCTCCTTTTTAAAAATAACATATAAGAATATTCCCATTTCCTAGGCAGATGCTATTAGTTCATTGAAAAGTCATACAGAATAATAGCCGAATCTTTCTCTGCCTTGAATCTGTAGTGTTTTAGACTTACGTGGCTTTGGTTCCACATTTCTGAAAGGCTCTGAAATGTGTGAGCTGATATGCTTTAAAGAACAAATCTCAAAAAAAAAAAAAAAAAGAAGAACAAATCTCATTTTTTAAATAGTCATTTTCATTTGTAGACAACAGGAAATGAGAAAACACATTTTAATGAAAATCGAGGAGCCAGAGATGATATTTGAATGAATCAGAAATGGGAAAATCTATTGATTGAGGTGCTCAACAGAAAAAAGAGCCCAGTGAATTCCTAGCTTTTGGTTCCTCTCTGCAGCCTGCACAGGAAAGGGGAACCTTTTATTCCAGAACCATTCCAATTGAGAGCATGTTATTACCACTAGATCTAAATGTGAGCATTGTTAATGGAAGCAAATGAGATCTGAATATGTAATGTCTTACAAGTCCCTACTCTGAAGCAGGCTTATCAAGGACAGTTCAATCAATTTTGGTCTCTTTAGGGATAATTTTATTGTCAATCTACTGAACAACTGTGTCTAGTTCACCATAAAACGTGCCGTGCTTGACACATAATGGCTAATCCATATTTGTTGAATGAATACCTCTGGAATGGTGAGGTTGAAAGCAAGTCCTATTTGGTACCTTAAGTTTAGCCAAACTGATAATAGAATCTGAGGTCTGTGCTCAGTTTTTGGCCTCTGGTGAACCTATCACTTGTGTGGACCACTAGGGAAACCTCGAGAGCCATGAGAAGTGCCCTGCTCTAGGATTCAGAAGCTGGCTGTGTGACCTTGAGTGACTCCAATCACCTTTCTGGGCCGTCCTTTCTGTCTGCCTCTGTAAGTTGAGACACTTCTACTAGAGCACTGTTTTTCAAATCGTTCATGATGCAGATGTTATGGGTGGGGTCTCGGGTGAAGTAAGCTCAGCAAACCTTGCTCAAATAAGTGTTTTCTCTACAGGGCTTCTTAGAGCTTTTCTGTGCAGTGTGAATCCCCAAGCAGGAAAGAATTCTGTGTTGCTTCCCCATGTCTTTGACCCTGTGAATCCTTGCTTGGTTTAATTCCTTACTGCCTTCTCTCCGGAGACCACAGTTTCAGGGAACACAGTTTGGAAGTCTCTTAAGTAGAGCTAATCTGTTCTAAAGGACACACTATGATAATAAAGCAAGGTTTTGTTTCGTTCTGTTTTGTTTTTGTGGGAAACCTGTTCTAGGCCCCAGTTCCAACAGTTTCCGTGTTAGGAAAATAGTTATGTGGGGACTTTGAAAATCCCTTCTGCAAAATATCTCTAATCATTTCTTATAATTATTTACATCTACCGTGTGCTGGTCACTGTTCTAGGAATGTAGTCACCAATTAGATACTCTGGTGTGTTGAACTTCTGCTTTCATAGGAGGGAGACAAGCGGAGGAACACGACCACACTGTACTGTTCTGCAGTGTGTGCTGTCCTGCTTAGACTCTGATATATCGGGTCAGGCAGTGATGATTGATGTGATACCAACAGCACAGTGAGCAGGGTGGGGAGCTGCTGTCTTATTTTGGGTGCTGTGTCTCAGAAGAGGCGGTATGCATAGAGACCCAGACAAAGGAGGAGGGTTGGGGGATGTTAATGTCTAGGAGGAGGAGTGCTCCTGGCAGAGGGAATGGGAATGTGAATGCCTGGAAATGGGACTATACTTGGCACCCCAGGAGAAAATAAAGGTGGTCAGTGTGGCTGGAGGCCCTTGAGAGGCTTATTCTAGGAATGGAATAGCAGCAACGGCAGGTACTATGGCCCGCACTGGGCTCTGGGTACCATGCATGTGCTAATTCATTCATTGCTCACTGCCAGGCAGGCACCTTTATTACCCCCATTTTACAGACGAGGAAATGATAGCATTAGGAAGCAAAATAACGAGCCCAGGGTTCCATAGCTGGGCTTGAACTTGGGCAGTCTGGCTGTGGAGTCTTTAATCCTCACTGCCCTGCAGTGGTGAGAAGGGCTGCCAGGACATTCCCAGTTAGCAGGTCACTAACGCGGGGATCAGAACATCCCTTGTCCATTTGTTAATTAGCTGGTTACCTGACACTTTCCAGTGACAACTTTCTATGTGTAAGCCAACCTCCGCTGTGCACCTGCTCTGAACACTCTTTCATATTTGGAGGGGAGGCAGCAGAGGGCAGTGGAAAAAAGGAACCTTGTCCTGAGCCCTTATGTGGACAGCCAAGTGCTTTCCTTTACATTTATATATATATTTAATTTAAATTCAATTTGCTAACATATAGTATGACACCTAGTGCTCATCACATCACGTGCCCACCTTAATGCCCGTCACCCAGCCACCCTAGCCTTCCTGATCTATTTGATCCTCACATTAACCTCACATACTGTCATTTGTCCATTTTACAGATGAGGACACTGAGGCACATAGAGCTTAAGTTGCTTATCCAAGTCATACGACAGTAAGTGGTGGACAAGTGTTTACACTTAGGCTAGTGGTTCTCAGTTGGGGAGATTTTGTTCCCCAGGGGATATTTGGCCATGTCTGGAGACACTTTTGATTGTCACAACCGGGTGTGGGGTGCTCCTGCCATTTAGTGGGAAGAGGCCAAGGCTAAACATCTCACTGTGCACAGGGCAGCCTCCACCACAAGGAATTATCCAGCCCTGAGAGGCCCTGAGCCAGGCGGGTGGATTTGGGTCCCAGCAGTGCACCCACAGAGCCACCACTGCCAGGGCTCTGAAGCTCCACAGCTGCGAGTTCAAATTTCAGCCATTTATTAGATAACTAATAAATGTTAGTTACCTAGCATTTATTAGTTATCTAAATTAGGCCCCTCTTCTAGTTTCAGGTTTTGTTGTTTGTTTTAAAGGTGTATTTATTTATTGGAGAGAGAGAGAGAGTGGGACTGTGGGGGAGAGAGGGAGAGAGAGAGAGAGGATCTCTAGCCGATCTGTGCTGAGCATGGAGCCCGACGTGGGGCTCAATCCCAGGACCCTGAGATCATGACATGAGCCAAACTCAAGAGTCAGATGCTTAACCTAGTGCACCACCCGAGCAACCCTAGTTTTAGTTTCTCTATCTGAGAAATGGATGCATTAACCCCAAAGGTTGGGATGAGGGTTAAATGAGTGTGTATAACCTGGAGCTTATTTTCATGCTCTTTTTCTTTCTCTTTCTCCTCATTAAAAGAACTCCAAGGCTTGATACATTTTAAATAGACTTTGAGGTTCCTAGCTTGGGTTGAACTACATCGTCCTAGAAGCTGAGGCCACCAGAACCGAGATTCATTCTGTCTTGCCCTCAGTCTTCTTGGCTTAGAATAGTGTCTGGTGTAGAGGAGATGCTCTATGGAGCATCCACCTTGGACACACACACACACACACACACACACACACACGTCTTAGGTGTTACGACTGAGTGAGTATGTAGGTGTTTACGCAGCAAGCCCTGGGTGGGTTTTGCCCATTGCAGGGTGGTGGTCCTCACATTTTGGGCTGATCAAAAGCCTGCAGGACCGAAAGCCCCACAGGGAGTGAGTGTTATCATTGTGCAACACACCTGGTGCTCTTTTATAACTAGCAAGGTGCCTCCATATTTCCCCCAGAGCTCCATAAATCCCTGGTGAGTCCCTTCCAGCTGACCCAGAATACGGTGGGAGGAGAGATGTCCAGAGACTCATCCAAGGTCACCCAGAGACCTACACTAAATTTGAAGGTGGCCATAATGCCTGCTCCCTAGCCACCACACGGCATGGGAGGAACGTGTGACAACAGGCGAGCAACAAGTACTTCCTTAAAATCCATGCTTCACCACCCTCACCCCCTCCTGGCTCTGTGTGATGACAAGAATGACGTGTCCCTGTCACTTGGTTGCAAGTCCTTAGAGTTTGGGTTTGTCTGGTGTTTGCTCCTGTGCAGATTCCACTATGACCTTCGGGCAGGAATCCCACTGAAGCAAAGCCGTGTCCCTCCCAGAGCATCATCTTGGGGCACAAGCTGTCAATTCCCACCACCGGCAGTGTCCC